AGTTTCTGTTCCACAGACCAGACCTAAGTCATATCCTTGCTTCTTATACTCCATCTATTATCTGCCTCCAAGAGACTTTCCTCACACATCTCCTATTCCAATTCCCAATTATCATTTTATCTCTTCCCACACTACAACCTGTTCTCCTTCCTCAGATGCATAAATATCCTTCACTTGATCCAATTCCCTTACTTAAACCACCATAACCCTTTACCTCATCAACCCCCTTACCCATCTTCAACTTTCCAACATTAGATAGTTGACACATAGCAACTATCAGCTGACATCACCCTTTACTATACCTTCCTATAGTGCTATATGACCTTAGATGTCTAGCACATTTATTTCGCTTTTAACCATTAACCATCATAGACACCAAATGCACAGCAGTTTTCTTATAGCACATTACTTATATATCCTTTTTTGTCTAAATCTGAGCGAACACAAGCGGCAAATTGTTTGCAAATCGTGTTTTACCTCATACATTTGGAATTTGGGTAGTGGGTGACACTGGAATACCTGTGCCTAGTCTCCTATATGGTCAAGAACGTGCCCAGTTGAGTCAATCGGGCATTTTTGTGTAGCCACAGTGGCTACTGATATTAGAAAATATTGCTCTATATTTGATTAAGTGCAGATGAGTTGGTGTAAGGAAACGTTGATATCGGACATTTCCAGGTTGTGTGGCAGGATAAAGAAGGAATTAACTTTGTATGAGGTTTATTTTTTTATGATTAAAAGATAAAAAACAAAATAAATGTGTTAGATATCATCATGTGGCAGTATGGGAAGGTATAATAGCGAAGAAAGGTGATGTGCTAGCGTGTGTCCCAACATAAACTAGTGGTCAAGGAAAGATCCTTTAAGGGTCGGTGTTGGGAGATCATATGTGAAATTTCCAGAACTACTAAAGTCAAGGGCGGAGTTTCTTAAGAGACAGGATGGCCGTCGTGCTAATGCTCTCAACTTGCTGACGGACTGAGATTCATGGTGGTTGTCATGACACGAATTCCACTGTAATTCTTAGGTTTGTTGATACATGAATCTTGGACGCTCAAGAAGAGGGGTGTGAAGCAATCAGGTCTGGATTACTTGACAACGTGACGAGGAAAAAATCTCTCATGGAGGTGTGTACTTTATTAGTATATTGTGCCCTTGGAGTGTGATCAAGGGATCCTCTGATGGGTCAATTTGGAAGCTGTGAAAGGTAACCGGGTAAACTTGTTTAGTCATGTCTATGATCCCCAGTACGTTGGGTGGTAATTTCAAGTCTGCAGTTCCGTGTGCATTTTCATGAACACATTTATAAGAAATAAAATGACATTGCTAATTTTTTGCCTTCTCCCAACTGTTGAAGGTCGCATAAGAGCTGTCAAGAAGAGCCAATTTAAAGATATTTTAATAAGACTGTGCAATACTCTTCATTCCTCCATTGAACAAGAATACTAAAGATAGCTACAGTCCCCAGAACCACCGAAGAAAATTCACAATTTACGGCATGCGTCAACTAATTAGGCAATGTCTGGTGAATTTGTTTGACTACATTTGGTGTAGCCAACATTTTATCTATCAGAAAACCTTTTATCACATAAGTCGGATGCACCATAAACTATTTACCCACTCCACTCCCCATTTTCTTGGATAAATGTATATTTTAAACACAATTGGCATTTTTGTATAGCGAAAACATTAAATGCAAAATTTTGATACAGCAAATAAACATTACTTACCGTTTACTTTCGCAAAGTAACTGAGTTATGCCACTTCTAACCATCCAATGTGCTAATTTGTGCGTATGCAATACAGGCTGACCTTTGGGCACCGACAGCCTACTAATTTAACTTTCAAAGCTTCCACAGAAATATATACCTTAATAATGGCGAGGTTTTGTTGGTCAGAACTCTTCTAGTCAGTATGAAAAAGGATCACATAAACCAATTAATTGAGATACAATGCACTTTTGTAGTGTAAGCCTACCACGGCACAAAATCATCAGACCCAGTGATATGGGAGGTTCGCCACTGGCTTGTAGTGATATCAGTACAGTGCATGGGAAGGTGACTCTGTGTTAGGTACTCGTACATGTTAATGTGAGGGAGAGAACGGACTTATCAGAGGACCAAGGCATGAAACATAGCACTTCTGTCTCTGCTTCTCTCTCTCTCTCTCTCTCTCTCTCTCTCTCTCTCTCTCTCTCTCTCTCTTCTCTCTCTCTCTCTCTCTCTCTCGTCTCTCTCTCTCTCTCTCTCTCTCTCTCTCTATCTATCTTCTTCCTTCCACTCTTTCTCTCGACCTTTTTATAAAAGGTTCTAACCCTCCTATTTGGATTGACTGAATTACTGGTGGGCAGTAGTGATACACGGATGTGGCTGTCCTCCGTATTGGTTAAGAGTAACACGCATTTACAAATAAATGCACGAGTATCACAATGAAGAACACGATATAGCTGGCGGTGCTGAGTGCCCGGCCTACACGCCGGCGGCAGGTTCGCCGAGGGTGTGAGACTGAGGTCAAGTTCTGCTGATCTCTTATAAGCCTGGGGGGCGCCCCAAGCTTTACTTAGAGAGCATGGCTTGGGTATGTTTATGCTGGGAGGATAACCAGCAAGGAAACCCCAGCCGACCCACGCCACGTGTGTGCCATGAGTACACTTTCCCCTATTGCCCGTGTCCAATCTCTGGTTATTCCTATAGTATACTACACATGGTGTCCTAAGCCATGTGTATAGTCTTCGTCTATAGTATAACTATATCCGTGGCTTGGGACACCACGTGTAGTATACCAACAACTTAGTATCCAAAACCCTTGCCATTACGAGTTACGGGAATGTTTTTGAAATTAATAATCGAAACTAGCGGTACAGCCACTGTCAATGTCGTATGCAATGACGTTCTGGGTGCACTGTATTTATGACGTTGTTGGTGAATCCATGCCGTCACTATTAGTATTTTTCAGATTACGGAATTTAGAATCATTTTTTTTAGCTCTTAGAGTATAGGTAAGGATAGTAATGTAACAAATATTTAATCGACCTTGATATATTTTGATTTTAGAAGATTCAAAATATATTATTCT